GGTGTGGTCATGAGCATGCCACTGCTCTCCAGCCTGGGCGGTGGAGTGAGACTCCAACTCAAAACAAACAAGCAAACAAAAAACAGGTATTTGTTAAAGGACTTTTATCCAGAATATATAAAGAACTCTTAACAATTCAATAATTAAGAAAGCTGATTTTTAAAATGGGCAAAAGATTTGAACATACACTTCAAAGAAGATACATGGATGTCAAGCAAGCATGTGAAAAGATTAACACAACTAGTTATTAAGGAAATACAAATTAACGTGATAAGTACAGTAACAGTGATATCAATGGAGTATCGTGGAAGTAAAAAGAAAGAACACATAATGCTGTGAGGATGATTAGGGACACAGCTCAAGGGAGGCTTTCTAGAAGAAATACAGAACAAAGTCTTAAGGATAAGTAAGAAATAGTCAGTTGAAAGGGAGGTGATGAAATACCAGGATCCTATTCCAGTCAGATGCCACTATACGTTCACCAGGATGGCTAAAATTTAGAACACAGGTCATTCCAAGTATTTATAAAGATGCAGAGCAACTGAAAGTCTTGTACATTGCTTGTGGAAATGTAAAATGGTACAACCACTTTGGAAAACAACATGGCACTCTCTTGAAAAGTTAAACATTTGCCTACCATACAACCCAACTATTTACCTTAGAGAAAGAAAAATGTATGTCCATACAAAGACTTGTACACTTATGTTTATTGTAGCTTTAGTTGTAATAGTCAAAAACTGAAAACAACTCAAAATGTCCATCAACAGGTGAGTAAATAAACACATTGTGGTATATCCATACAATGGGGTAGTCTCTGGCTTTAAAAAAGGAATGATTTATTGACATACCTGTTAACTCAAATGAATCCCAGAATAATTATGCTACGTGGAAAAAACCAGGCAAAAGAGATATATACTGTGTTACATTTAAATAAAATTCTGGAAAATGCAAACTATAGTGACAAAAAGTAGGTTGGTGGTTTCCCAGAGATGGGGTAAGGGAGGGAGAAATGGATCATGGAGGAAAAGAAGGAAATTTTTCAGGTGATGGATATATTCACTGTCTTGATTGTAGTGATTGTTTCATGGGCATATATGTATGTCAACACTTAGTAAATTGTGTATTGTATGTATTTGTAACTGACTGTATGCCAGTTATATTTTCATAAAACTGGAGGAAAAATAAAATAGAAAAAAGTGACAGAAGCAAGCAAGGACTTCTTCATCCGTTGATGGTTGGCAGTCAGAAAAGGGAGAAATCAAAGCTCATTTCCTGTTTTCTGGTTCTTGCAGTGAATGGGTGATTTCTTTCACCATGATGAGGTATGTCATAGAGCAACAGTTTTGAAGTTGAGGTGAGGGCAAGGCACATATGTTGATGGGGAGATGTTCAGTAACAATTAGAAAAGAAGATGCAGCAATCTTCTGAGATGTGGTCACAGAGCTAAGAAACAATTTGGGCCGGGACAGGGGCCTAGAAACTCAGGATACTGTCCTTGCCTGAATGGCATCCTTGCCTGAATGATCAGCATATTAGATGCTGACGAAAAGTTGAGCAAGATAAAGACTGAAAAATATTCATTGAATTTAGTGACAAGCCATTGGTGATCTTGAGAAGAAAAAATTCTGTCAAGTCGTTAAATGATAGCCAAATTGCAGACAATTGAGGTGCAGATAAGAACGTTTAGTTTACTGGCTCTTTTTTAAATGTTGGACTTGGAATAGAGGTGACTGGGTGTACATGTATCTGAATAGGGTAGGGGGTTAGGAATACAAAATCAAGGAGTTTTTCTCAGTATTCAGTTGACCCTTGAACAACATGCGGTTGAACTTATATGGGTCCACTTATATGTGAATTTTTTCCAACCAAAAGCAGATTGAGAATTGTGGGATGCAAAACCTATATATACACAGCCCTAAGTTTTGGTATAAGCTGGTTCTCCAGGGCAAACTGTGGTACTTGCATATGCCAGAATTTTGGTATGTGGGGGTGGAGGGGGTGGTTCCTGGAACCAGATCTGCATATACTGAGGGATGACTGAATATGTATAAGGCAGATATTTCAGCATATACTTTCTTGTATGCCAGAAGAAGACAGCCATGAAAGAGGAAGAGTTTGAAAAGGAATTAGAAAAGGGAAAAGAAAGAGTAGTTGGCAAAACAAAGGTACTCTAAGAAGCAGGTTGAGGTGGGCTTTGGCAGTCAGAAGGCAAGACTGGTCTTCAACAAAGGTGTGAAAGTGAGTCAAAATCAGATCATAAGCATTGAGTGAGTTAATGAGCTTAAATTATGTAGGCAGTGGGGAGTTACTGGAGATGTTTGATTAATTTTCAAATAGTAAATTTTTTTTTTTTTTGAGTTGGAGTCTCACTCTCACCCAGGCTGGAGTGCAGTGGCACATTCACCGCCACCCTGGCGTCAACCTTCTGGGCTCTGGAGATCCTTCTACCTCAGCCTTCCAAGTAGCCGGAATTACAGATGCGCACTACCGTGCCCAGCTAATTTTTTATCTATTGTAGAGACGAGGTCTCGCCAAGTTGCCTGGGCTAGTCTTGAACCCACGGGCTCAGACAGTTCACTCACCTTGGCCTCCCAAAGTGCTAGCATTATAAGCTGAGCCACTGAGCCCAACATAGTCACGTTTTAAATATTATATAGATAATATTAAAAGCATTTTAAAAAGAAAAGTGAACCAAAATTTTACCATATTAACATCATGTAAGTTTTCATTTTTCCTACTTCCATCAAAGGAAGAATGGAAAGATAGAGATAGATTTGGAAACGCAAGGAGGGAAACCCATGGGATTTGGAGATGTAGGGGAGAGACTGAGAAATAACAAGTTTATAACTTGAATGACAGGATAAATTAGATGCAATTTGCTTTTCAAATAAATCAGTGCTCATCTGATTGTAACACACCTTTACAACTTTGTAGACCAGTCTTGCCTTCTAATTGCTGAGGCCTATCCCCTACCTGCTTCTGAAGACTTGTTTCATCAGCTAGTCTTTCTCCTCTTCTAACCCCTTTTCATACTCTCCTTTGAAATGATGACAGATATCTGCTATAGTCAAGTACTCAGAGTTATGCCTCCCATGTTAGGCAGTATTATTATTGCAAATCAAAAGCACCTGAACTGAATGGTAACCTCTTGGTGGTAGAAAATGGGAATGTGTTCAGGAAGGAGTATGTGGGGATTTCAGCTTTAATGGTAACATAGTTAAACGATTCAAAAGTCAAAATCAAGATTTCACTTCTGCATATGACTGAAGAATCTTTTGTTTTCCTTTATAAACTTCACAGTAGTTCTTACAGATTGGGTTAATTTGAATAGAATTGGAAGACTTTCTGAAAAATTTTAGTTGATCAGTTTTTAATTTTTTCTTCATGGTAGCATTTTAAGTAATGTTCAGTTAAAGGTTTATAGTGACTCTGTTCTCTTATAGTCTACTTCTAGGTATATACCCTACTCCTAGGTATATACCCAAAAGAATTGAAAGTATGTTTTCAAAGGAAAACTTTGTATACCAATATTCATGGCAGCACTATTCACATTAGCCAAAAGGTGGAAACAATCAAAATCTTCATCAGCAGATGACTGGATAAACAAAATATGACATATTCATACTAAGGAATATTTTTCAGCCAAAAAAAAAAGAAAAGAAATACTCATACATCCTACAACACAATGGACCTTGAAAACTTTGTACTATATAAACGAAACCTTACACAAAAGGGCACATATGGTATGATTCCTTCTGTATGAACTATCCAGAATAGGCAGATCTATATAGAGAGAAAGCAGAGTAATGATTGACAGGGGTTGGGAGGAAGAGAGGGAGGTACGGGGGAGAAACTGCTTAATGGATACAGGGCTTCTGTTTGGGGTGATAAAAATGTTCTGGAATTGATAGCAGTGATGGTTGTACAATACTGAATATGCAAAATGTCACTGAATTTTCTATGTTAAAATAGATAAAATTAGAAATTTTGTGGATATTTTATCATGATTTTTCAAAAGCTGTTGATACAGCAGAAGTCACCTGTTTAGCAGACTAAAACTAAATCTGATAACTGGTGATATTAGCTTAATTGGGGAGTTATGTGTTATTATATTTTTAAAATTTTCTGGGAAGTTTCAATAAACAGTTGCAATAAGTCTCCCCCTTCCTCTATTCTGGTTCATTCAATCAGAGGTAGGACCTAGTAAATATTAAGGAAGCACCTTAGGTGATTATGACACAAGTGGCCCCAACAGCTTATTCTTGGTAAAAATGCAGTGTTAAACCACCATGTATGGAACATTCTAGGATGCCAGATATTTTAGTTAGTCCCTATATGTAAAAGTTTTACTCTGTGCTTTTATGAAGAGAAACAAGCAAAGACACACAAGTTGACCAAAGCAAAAAGTTAAATTTGGCTTGTGTGCATGTGAGAAAGCCCTCTAAAAGTTCAAAACTTTTCTCCCAGATTTTTACATTTGACTCTTAAAGATAGACTGTTTATCTTGCTACTTTGAGTCTGGCCACACCAACATTCCCATCACACATTTATTCCACTGCTTCTGCTGTGTAAGTTAAAGCAGAGGTTACTTTATGAACTTCTGCTTTGCTTATATGGAGTAACGTTCTAGAACTTAGCATTTATGGTTTCTAGGATTTAAAAGTTACAGTTTCAACAAAACCTGTGCTGTTTTTGAAGATTGATGTTGTGGGATTTATGGTTTACTTGTGGCACAACTTTGAATCATGTGCTTTAAAGCTGCTCTGTATGAAAAGTAAACCATTTAACTAAGAGAACTAACCTCGCTGCATTTTAGCAACTCAATGTGACTTTTCTATAGGTCTGTTTTGGTGGTATTAAGTCTTGAAATAATAATATCATATGCAGCATGCTAGGGGGCAATTTGCTCAGTAGTTATAAACACTAATGACTTAATTTTTAAAACTTAAATCTTTAAAGAATACTCTGAAATTTGATATAAGTCTTTTTTCTTAACTTAGGCCAGCCGAGCCTTCGAGAAGCTATTTCCATGTCCTGTATAACCAATGGAAGTGGTGCAAACAGAAAACCAGGTCATACCAGCGCTGTCTCAATTGCAAGAAAAGAAACTCTTTCATCTGCTGCTAAAAGGTACTCATTTGTAAAGGGCAAAAACTAATATTGCAGAATTATCTGAATGTGACTGATCAGCCTGCTTTTGAAAAGAATACGAAATAGAGCTGGATGGAATTCAAGTGAGCATGTCCTTTGTCTTTAACTGTGCACATAGACATCTAGCCTGTGTTCATTCCATTCACCTTCATCATACCTATCCAGTTGTGAAAGGAAGCGTTGACTCTTACTAAAGAAAGAAAGCTATTTCATTTCCTGGTTTGGGTTTTGTTTCCTTTTGGCAAGCATTTATTAACAAGATAAGTATCACAGTATTTAAAGAAATTCAGTATATCAATTTTTCATAGCAAGTGATATACTTGATATAGCATTTTAAAAGAGAAAATGGGATCTGATATGTATCTACAGTGAGAGGTTAAATGCTATTATAACTTTTATTCTTTAACCATAACTATAAAATTTAAGCTTAATTCAAATATTATAGTACTATGTGATATGTGTGTTTGTATGTATATGTTAGGAGATGGTGGGCAAGAAGACTGTAGAATTATTGCGGTATAAAAGTTTCAGTGGATTATAGATTTGATTCTGTATGTTCTTTTCATCCATTAATTGACTCTATTCCAATAGAGTTACTTACAGGATTTTTCCCTTTTTTTGGTTGTCTCTAGCAAATTATTCCATATAGAATTTGGAGAGACCATAGGAGATCAACTTCATAATATTAAAACGGTTTTTCTTCAAAGAAATATAAGGAAAAACTATAAGTAATAAGATGTGTAACAATGTACTGATGAAAAATGCTCACCTCAATAAACTAGTGCCAGTGACTGACTTATTCATCAGTGTGGGTTTATAGATGTTTAATCAAAAAGTTGACTACAGTATTAGTGAAGAAGTAACAAAGTCTTCAGCCCTTTTAAAAATTCCTTCTGGAGTTCAGTCTTTGAAGTCATTACAGAATCTAGACTTTCCCCTCCAAAGGATACCAGAATTTATTACCTGTACTCCACTGTTAGTAGAAAAGTACAAGTTATAAGGAAACAAACTCATGATAGAAAATTTTAAAACACTGCCATGTTGTGTCCAGAAACAGTTCAGATTTAGTCTATTTTCATACATAGCAGTTACTGTTACTGTGCAGTAAGTAATCAGTATTATACAGAATAGTGATTCAACAGTCTAAGACCAGCTGAATTTGTTACTTTATGATCCAGAGGCCCTGCTTTTAAATAACCCAGAAGGAAAATCTCTTTTAAGTTGTACTAGGCCTATGTAAAACTCTAGTGGTGTATGCAGTTTGAAGATTGACAAGAAAGTAGTAACTCCTAACTCAACTTTTATGTATTTTATTTATTTATTTATTGAGGAAGTTGGATAAATTTGAACTAACTCAGTTTTTTAGTTTCAAACTTAATCTATTTTTGAAGTGAAATTGTATTTCTAAGCACATGCTTTAAAAAAAAGTGGAACATAAATAGTCAGGGGCCAGTCTGAAATCAGAAGACATAACTAAATCAGATTAAGAAGTGTAACTGTCAAAATGATACTATAACATTTTTAGCTATAATAATGTGGCAGCTAAATTGTATATACTACGTATATTTACTTAAAATATTCCTGAGCATCCTTAATTATGCTCCTTGTAGATTATGCTCCTTGTAGTCAAATTAGAAAATATCCTCTGATTAAGAACTGTTGATAGTTATCTGCCTTTGCAACACTGGAATCCAAGTCTTGATTCCATTTGCTCGGTAATATAGTCAAGAGAGTGTGTGAGTTACAAGTACTCTATTCAGTGTGATTGGGAATGGCAGGTGGTTAATTAATCTAGAGTCAAAGTGCAGAATCATAAGATTTATACATGAGAATCTTAGATATTTTATTTTAAGATATATTCACTTGTACTTATTTGTCAATTTTTGTTTTGGGTTTTGTTTTTGTTTTTTTTTTTTGAGTTGGAGTCTCACTGTCGCCCAGACTGGAGTGCAGTGGCCACTCCCGGCCACTGCAGCCTCGACCTGCTGGGCTCTGACGATCCTTCTGCTTCAGCCTTCCAAGTAGCTGGAACTACAGGCGCGCGCTACCATGCCCAGCTAATTTTTTTGATTTATTGTAGAGATGAGGTCTCGCCTGCCCAGGTGTGTCTCGAACCCGCGGGCTCAGGCAATCCACTCACCTCAGCCTCCCAAAGGCATGTGATGACAGGCTGAGCCACCGAGCCTGGCTTATTTGTCAATTTTTAAATGAAAGGCCAAGCCCTCCCACTCTCTGAGTATACATCTCTGATCATATTTCTTGTTAACTGTATTTCATAAAAGATACCTATAAATAACTTTCTGTAATTTTTGTTTCATCTTTTAAGACAGAGTAAGAAATTAAAAACTCTGGCCAAACAATATATTAGAACTCATCTCTTTTTCTGTGATTTTAAAAAATTGTATCATCCACACTAAATTTTACATCTATTTTTTTAGTAACTCGTTTTTTATAGTCTTTCCAGAACATTCAAGTTAATTTTCATAGAGATTGCAGTTCTCTTTTCTGTATATATTTCCTCTGTTGTCTTTGTATTTAATTAACTTACATAATTAAAATAACAACAACCGGCATACATAGATTTAGGGAAAAGCATAGACTCTTGGTAAATTTAAAACTCAATCAGAGAGAGAAGTATACATAAAAAAAGAGGAATTAGAGATTAGCCTATTAAGCATAAGCATTTAGTGTGCCTTGGGCATCAGTCAGTATGCTTTACACAGGAAATCCTGCAACTTGGGTAAATTGAAGTCAATTAAAGAAAGTGTCTATGTCCCCCAAAATCTGCCAAGATGGCAAAATTCATGAGGCTATTTCTGTCCAAAGAGGCAATCTTCATAGGATATGTTGCCTTAAAATTTTTATAAATTCTTCACAGGAAATATTAATAGATTCCAGAGTTTTCAAATAAATATTTTCCTTATTGAATGAAAGCAGTGTAAATTGTATTAGCTGTATGATTTAGGGTTTTGATTTATATAATAGTCACTTTTCTATCGTTTGATTTTTTTTTTTAATTTGTTTAAATATGTGTTGTTCCATGTTATACTTTATTTTACAGTGGTACAGAAAAAAAGAAAGAAAAACCACAAGGACAGAGAGAAAAAAAAGAGGATTCTCATTCTAATGATCAAAGTCCACAAATTCGAGCATCACCTTCTCCCCAGCCCTCTTCACAGCCTCTCCAAATACACAGACAAACTCCAGAAAGCAAGAATTCTACTCCCACCAAAAGGTTTTAACTGTCCCTGAGTACAGAGCTAGGAAATGGTTGTAATGATACCTAAATTCTGTGACTTGGGAAGAAGGTGGCTATCCATGGATTACAAGAGAAAAGCCTGGTGGCTTTTGTTTTTTCTTCTTTATTGCTATATTCTGTATAGCACATTGGGGAATAAAGACCTAAGGTCAAAATTTCTCAGTTAAAACTGGGGAAAAAAAACTAAGTTATAAACAATCTGATGAAAGGAAAGCAGAAATAATCTACTCTAAAACCAAAACAATATAGTAAAATTTTAGAATACTTTAAAATTTATATATATCTATTTTTAAATTTATAGCCATGGATAGAAAATGGCCATATGTGATTATCCTCACCATATTTTGGCATCATTACAACCTTCAACTTGCTAGGGCCCTTCTCAACAAATGGGTCTTCATTGTGACTGCATCTCAGTTTCAGTTTTGGGTCTTGGGAGGATAAGTTCTTGCTTGAGTAGAGAAATGAATCCATTTCACCTGGTCTTTTCTATGCTAAAGGCTTGCTTGAGGGCTTCTCTCTGTGTCCGTAATAATTAATATTTTAAAGTTATGAGAGGGGGAGAAGGGAGAAACATTCTAACAACGTGTGTGAGCATAAATTGGGGATCTAAGCCTGCATGCTGGGAGTTCAATGCTACAGCTGCCTCATAATCAGTGATTGAGACCAACTTAATTAAATTTGCCTGTTTAGAAATACTGATTCAAGCTTTATGATTAGGTATAGATATGTCATATTTCTTCTTGGAAATCTTAGGAAACTATTAAACCATTCCCAGAACTGGCTAGAGTTTTAGTAAAATAAATGACAGTCTTTCCTAAAAGAGTTATAATATATTTTTATTTGATCAATTTAATATTTTGCCTCACATCTTTTTTTTTTATAATTAATCAGTATTTTTTATTATGGTTTTGTGGGGTACAGTTAAGGGTTAGGTGTACAATTATGTTTCATTCAGGCACCCTGTTGATAAGAGGTGTTTTCCCAGCCCCAGACAGATATTTGCTACTGTTAATCCCATCCCCCTCCCCCCCATAGTTTCCTAAAAACTCTAAAAATTGACCTTCCATATGACCCTGCAATCCCCCTACTGGGAATATACCTTGCCTCACATCTTTAATGGTTAGTTGGGAGACCAAAATGCCCTTCACTTGACCGATGCATGTTTACCATCAAAATGCTTTGTCTGTGTGTCTCACACAGATACTGTTTAAATGATTTGGAATTCTTCTGCCTGATCTCCTGTGGAGTTTTTCTTGGATGTGGCTTAATGTTACGCAACTTGGGATTGTGTGTGGTTAAAGATGGCTTTCAATAATCAATGTCTTTAAGGTTCTGATTTGACTTGGTATCTTCTTTGTCCCAGTATCTTTTTTTCAGCTTCTCCTGGAAATGTGCTTGCCCTTCTAAATTGCTCTTTGGATATACTATTGCAAGAAGTGTTGAAGACTGGATGAGTTTGAGGATAGTTAGCAATGCAACCCCAAAAAAGTCATTTATAAATAAACAAATTTTAGTTGTAAGTGTAGGGAGTCAATGTTGATAATACCTCATTTTGTGTCAAATCTTGTTGATTTCTGAATTAGTAAAATTGCATCTAAAGATATAAAGAGTTTTAGTTCCACGGTTTATTTAGAAATTGTCATTTGTGCCATATGTAATTTAATTACTTGAGGACATAATTACATAAAAAGTGAAAATGGCAACTCTGTGCTTTAATGACTATGAACTAATACAGGTTTTTTGGTAATTGCAAATTATGAGAAATATTATTACCCAGAGATTTAAGCAGATGGATTTTTTCTGTTAACAAAAAGAGGTAGATTCCTTTTTTAAAATTAGTATTATTTGTTTTAGTGAGTCTTTGGAATAATATGGAAAATTATAAAACAGATTTGGTAATTGCCTTGTTTAACTCCTTCACTCATCCAAGCAGAACCTTTCAACTAATCCTTTCTTCTCTTTTCTGGATTAGCTTTAAGGAAGTGTTAATTGCTGCTTTTGTGTTCTATTTAAACTGTCAGTTACATATATTTGCTACTTAAAATTTTTCTCTAAGAAATTAATATGTTTCTTCTAGCATAAAACGACCATCAACAGCTGAAAAGGCACATAATTCTTGGGAAAATTCAGATGACAGTCGTAATAAATTATTGAGAACAGCTTCAACATCAAAATTAATATCAAAAGTTATAAAGAACACAGACAAGTAAGTATTATACTTTCTTCATTGTATCCGAGCATTAATAATTCTGTAATTATCATGTTTCCATGTATAATTATGTCTAGTTTGAATCTTTTAAAAATATCTGTTATAATTGATATCTTTTTATTCTCTGTACATTTTTTCTTTTAAGTTTTCTAAGAAAAGCTTTATCTACCTGTTAGTGCTCCCCAATTCAAATCATAAATCTTAGTAATCCTATAATTTTTGAGTATTTTTATAAGTTCTTTCTAGGCTTTCAGTGTTGAGTTGATCTTATGGGATATTCATTTTATAAAATAGTATGTATTAGTAGCTGAGACCAATTTAGAAACTTTAAAAATTACTGACTCCTTAATTTCACTTCTAGAGATTTATCTAGGGTATAGCCTCTGCATTGAAATCTTTACAGTTCTTCAGGTGATTCTGATGGTGCGTCACATAAAATTTTAAAATAAATATGTTCTTTGTATTCCTTTTTCAGGCACAAAGATGTCATCATCAACCAAGGTAAGTTAAAAGTTCTTTTAAAAATATTTATTTTGCTTTTCTATTTAATTTTTGCTAATTGATAAAAATATTGACTTATTTTCATTCAGTGTGTTTTATTAGTTTATGTAATCAAAGAGAAGCATTTTTTTAGTCATTTAAGAAAATGCCCAGTTTTTATTGTAAGATGTGTCATTTTTGTCTCAACCAGCAAAAATGTCAACTCGTGAAAAAAACAGCCAAGGTAAGAATAAGCTACGCAGTTGGTTGCCTTCTAAGTTAATTTCTTCCTGGATCTCTTATTTGGCTTTTCATTATTTATACTACCTGATTTTCCTCTTAACAAAGGAAACATCATGGTAATTTGAACTAGTGACTCAAACTACATTTTTAAAAATCCATCTTATTTCTGTAAAATCTGAAGATTCAACTGTAAGAATAAATATAGTATTACAAAGAGGGATAAAACATTAGAGCGAGTTTTCTCCCTTAAACAAAGTTAGAAAAGCCATTTAAAAGATTAATAAATTTTAACTCAGTTTCTTGTCTTGCTAACTTCATTGCAAATAATCACTCATTTCTTGATGCTAAGACTGAAAATATGAGTCTAGCAAATCCATTTCCTCTTAAATTTTTTCTTTTGTATTAATTACAATTTCTGGCTACTTGCTGTTGTTGGCTTGTTCTGACCAAAAAAGGAGAGCAGACTCTTGTAAATGTGTATTTAATTTAATTGCAAAGTAGGTAAGCTTTATATACATCAGTTTTATGCTCTCCTTGAATTGCCTGCAAATGTAATTGAAGCATGCTGTTCTAAATGAAAGCATGTCCTTTCTGTGCATGCTTTCCCAGCCCACTTCCTGTCATAGTTATCTTTATTTTGGGGGTTATTATGGTAGCCAACTACAAGGTGGTTAAAATTTTTGTTAGAGATTTGACTTGGTTTCTGTGAATTTTTACTTTCTTTGATTCCAATAAGAAAAGAAATGTTTATTTATCATCATCTTTGCATCATTTGTTTTTACATAGAAATTCTAAATATAGTTGAATTTTGCTGGAATTTCTTCTTTAGATAGGTCTTGCTTTCTCCCTCCTTTGTAATACACTGTAGATTAAGTAATGGTTGAGATAATTTAAGGGAAAATGAAATTTTATTTACAAAGATAATCCTCATTACATTGCATGTATCAAAGCAGTTTTTATTGTGTGTGTTTTTATTTTCTTTTTTGGACTTCTACAGTGACTTGGAAAAAGCATTATTTATCTATTTATTTATTAGATTAGGAAACATAGTTTATTTAGAAAGTAAATTAGAGAGAGAGAGAGAGACAAAAAGGGAGATTCACCTCCCCAGGGTAGGGGAGGGGGCCAAAGCTTAAGAAAACATGGTGTGGCCATAGCTCAAAGACCACATGACAACACCATAGCTTAGCAAGGCAATGGCCTAGCAATGGCCAAAAACATTTTTTAAAAATAGAGGCAGTGGCCGGGCATGGTGGCTCACACCTGTAATCTCAGCACTGTGGGAGGCTGAGGCAGGAAGATTGCTTGAGCCCAGGTGTTCGAGACTAGCCTGGGCAACATAGTGAAACTTTGTCTGTACTTAATAAGTAAATAAACAAGCAAGCAAACAAATAATTAAGGTGGTGATATATAGTGGAAAGAGCAACGAATGTAGTAAAAAATTGCTGTGTTTAGTGTTTGGTCTGGCATTTCTGCATAATAACCTAATAATCTAGGCCAAATGACAGTGTCTCTTAGTAGTTTTCTAATCTGAGAATAATAACTATAAAGCTTACTTCACTTGACTACCAAAGTATGAAATAATATATATGAGAGTACTTTTAAAATAGAAAACACTGTAACTATAAAAAGGTGCTGTTATTATTAGATGTTTTGCTAAAGAGCTTAAAAATTTTATAAAATCCTTATAGGGCAAATGAGAAAGGGCTGCCTGCCCTTTTCTCTTGTGGCATGTTTTTTGGAAGAGAAAATATACTTAAAATTGGTATATAAGACTGGTTTGTGTTGGTGTCACAATTTTCAAAATTATTCAGGTAAATAAGCAGGGTAGAGTTTTGTTTCAGAAGCATAACTAAACAGGATTTTAGCCAGTGTCTGCGGAAAAGGATAGAATGAAAACCTGGAAAATGATATAGAAAAATAAGTTGAATTCTGGCCAGGTAGGGTGGCTCTCACCTGTAATCCCAGCAATTTGGGAGGGCAGGGTGAGAGGATTGCTTGAGCCTAGTTTGAGCCCAGCCTAGGCATGATAGCAAGACATGGGTTGTCAAAAAAAAAAAAATTAGCCAGGCGTGGTGGCGTGAACCTGTAGCCCCAGCTGTTCAGAAGGCTGAGGAGGAAGGATCTCCTGAGCCCAGAACGTGGAGACTGTGAGCCTGGGATGAGCCCTGATTTTTCTACTGCACTCAAGCCTGGTCAATAGAGTGAGTCCTCCCTTCTCAAAAAAAGAAAGAGAAAAAAAAATAAGTTAAATTATGTTACAAGAATATTACCTCAAAAAGATTATCCCAGATGTTAGAATTAGTTACATCAAATGTTGCTTACATTGAGCCTTATTTTTGGAATTCGAGTATACGCCTTTGCCACTTGAATCCGCTATATCCTTCTGGACAATAGACTTTAGTCATTAGCATGTACTTGCAAGGAGAACTCTGCTTTAATTTGTTGATGTAGTCTGGGCCTGACAGGTTGAGTCAGCCTTTAGAAAGAAGATGGGTTCTAGATGGTTTAGGCAGGGTATGGGAGGTAAGGAACAGGGGGAATCTCTGAAGACTGCTAGGTTGAGCAGCTGGAGAACTGGTGTCTACTGAAGTAGAGAACATTTGAGGAGGAGTAGATATGTGGAAAAGTATAGGAGTTTGGGCTGGGCGCGGTAGCTCATGCCTGTAATCCCAGCACTTTGGTAGGCTAAGGTGGAAAGATTGCTTAAGCCCAGGAGTTTGAGACCAGCCTAGGCGTATAGCAAGACCCCATCTCTACAAAAAAAATTAAAACATAAAAAATTTCACCAGGCATAGTGGCACACACCTGTAGTCCCAGCTATGCAGGAGGTTGAGGCAGAAGGATCACCTGAGCCCAGAAGGTTGAAGCTGTGGTAAGGTGTGATCGTGCCACTGCACTCCAGCCTGGATGACAGAGTGAGACCCCAACTCAAAACAGAAAATATAAATCAATAAAATTAGGGGAAAAGAAGAATAGGCATTTGGTTTTGGACACTTGCACTTAGATTGTCTGTGAAACTTAACCTCCACGTAGAGACATACAACAAGAAACATAATGTAAATGTTGAAACACATGAATCTTAGAGTCCAGAGACTGGTTTTACCATTTACTTCGCTCCAAGGGGAGACCCCAGAAAAACTGGTATTATTTTTTGAAGGTCAGGCCCCTTGTAGTACACATGGAATTTGTTCCTCCAGACCAAATGGTCAACCAAAGTTTTTATCTCGAAGTTTTGAGAAGGTTGCATCATGATTTGCAGAAGAAATATCCTGAGTTGTAGCAAACAGGTGACTGGTTCTTTCACCATGACAGTACACCTGCCCACACTGCGCTGAGTGTTCAGCAGTTTTTGACCAAAAAATGGCATTACCTCCTACCCCACCCTCCCTATTCACCCAATCTTGCCCTGAGCGACTTTTTTTTTGTTTTGTTTCCCGGATGAAAAAAGTTCTCAGAGACAAACATTTTGCAGATGTAAAAAAGGTGAAACAACAACAGCAAAAAAAAAAAAAAAAAAAAAAAAAAGGCAGAAGCACTCAAAGGCATCAAAATTGACAAGTTCAAAAACTGTTTTGAGCTGTGAAAAGTGTCTCAGTAGGTGTATTGCATCAAATGGAGAGTAATTTGAAGGTGGCTGAAGTTTACACATGTAAGAATAATTGCACAAATGGGATGGGGAAACGTAGCAGTTCTTGGTAAAGTCCTTTGTAATGATGGTTTGATTTTTTTATTTCAAGAATCTTTTTTTCCCAATGTATGCTTTTTTCCTTTTTTGCACAGTTTCCTTATCACTTGCTGTAGATGGCTTATTTTGCATTCATGCAGACTATGTTGCAACTTTGTTTCATATGGTAAACTGAAAATTATTGCTTTAAAAAAAACTAAGTGCACAATTTTTTATAATTAAATTCTGGATTTTTTACTCCCCCCATGATGACCTTGAACAGTTTACCTCATCTCCCTAAGTCTTTGTTTTCCAATCTATAACCGAGACCATAATAAGCCCACAAAGAGTTGTTGTAAAAATTAAAGACAGAATAAAGTGTGTTTAACCTAGTACCTTGTACATAGTGCCAAATAAATTTTAGTTGTTAATATGAGTCTTGCAGTAAAACCTTGCACTCAGATGTGTAGAGTAAGATGAAAAGACAATCATTAAATAGATGAACTTCGTTGACTATAAGTTTTAGAACTATTTTTAAAGTCAGTTGTCTTTTTTGCATGGCATAGTCACAACACAATATCTTATATTTTAACTATTCTAATATTTGTGATTTTTGGATAGTCTTTTAAAAATATGATTTATTTTTTTATTTTGCTCTTTTTTGACAATGACAGCTGTGGCTTATTCTAAGCTATGTGCTTTGATTTAGTTAGAAGCCTATTTATATTTGGTCCATTTAAGTGAGTAGTAACTGAGAAAACTTTTGTCAAAGGCCTGTGTCCTTTAGGCATAGCAGGGGTAAGAGAAAAGCTCTGAGGCTGCATATTCTGATCAGTGCTTAGGCAGAAGGCGGGAAACTGTGGTTGAAAACAATAGGAAGTGGAATGGGTTGTATACAGGGCAGCCTCTGAGGCTGGATGTGGGAAGAAGGACAGATTATGCCACTAAAGAGAAGCTCTTACTAATCTTTGTGTTTATCTATACCCTGAAGCCTAAACTCCTTTTTATTACCCTGGTTTTGCTGAGTTCTGCTCCAGTCGCAGCAGAGATAAAGTCCTAGCATATCAAGTTAAAATTTGAAAACGCTTTCCTATAGGACTATTTACTGTTA